AAGCTCGCTAACCATTACACCACCGCGGGTGTCCAAAGAAACTACAACGTAAATAAATAACTGACGCCCAAACAACACAGACCTGGGTGTGACGATAAACTACATCCGGCAGCAAGGCCACTGATCGTGAGATTGGAGGTTTTGTGTAGCGTGGAACCAATTTTCAATTGAAGTTTCCTGGTTCACGCTGACTCGCGGTAGTAAGCACTTGTTAAGGTTCCAGATTCTGGCAAATAATTAACCCACAAACAAAAATAAAAAAAAAAGGAAAGTATTAAAATATATTTTTTTTAGTAAAATTACCAACAATACATATAGCAAAATGAAAATTTAAAGGCATACAATATCGGTCGAAATATTTAGATTTCGGCATTAAATAACCCATAAAGGTGTTGATATGCCGCGAAACAAACTGACCAACAATACATTATATCTGTAGATGAAGGCATACAATTGCGTTCAAAATATTTAGATTTTGGCATTAAATAACCCATACAGATGTCGATATGCCGCTAAACAAAATGACCAACAATACATTATATCTGTAGATGAAGGCATACAATTGCGTTCAAAATATTTAGATTTCGGCATTAAATAACCGATAGAGATGTCGATATGCCGCTAAGCAAAATCAATCAACGAACGAGACCACACTGAATTTCTAAATATTTCAATGTAGAAAAAAAGGAAATTTATAAAAATTATATTACTTGTTGGTAAGGTGAGTTTTTCTTTTAGTTTTATTGTCCCTATTACAGATATATTTTAGTTTTACCTGAAATGTCACACAAACACAGGCACAAACACACATACATACACACACACACACACACATATATATATATATATATATATATATATATATATATATATATATATAGATAAAGGAAAAGAAAAGAAAAGCAATGTTTGAGTGATAGATTGATTCGCCTTTTGCGTTTTCTCCACCCTGTTGTTGGTTTAAAACCGAAACATAACTGGATTGTAAAAATAATTCTTTTTTTTTTTTTTGCGGGTGAATATTACATTAAGATATTTTTTGAGCAGCAATTGTTTTTCCTAATGCGTTCTACTATTTAACCCATAACTGAGGGAAGGAATTGGATTCAAGTCTGTTTGTGTGTAAGAGAAATTCTGATTCCTAGGCGACGAAGCAAGGTAGAAAGGAAAGAAAATGTCAAAGTGGCTTATTCCATTTTCGGTCAAATTTTAGAAAATAGCAGGAAAATGAACTGGGTAAATGTTCTTCTACAAGCCATGTCTTTTCTGGACGTTACCATATCATGGTTCCCCGTATCTTTCTATCGTTTGTAACATTAAGTAATGTTTGTCTCTCTAATCATCACCCCTTTTAAGATTCTAAATATCAAAAGATGGACATAGAAGTCATAGAGATATTCTACTCATCGGCTTCGTTTTCAATGGGCCAGGTCCCTTCACATTGTACCTTCACAAATACACGTGAATTTTCATGTTTCTTCACAAATACACGTGAGTGATCTTGTTTCTTCACAAATACCTATCTTTTATCGTTCTTCCTATTTTTATGTTTTTCCATTATCCTTCCTCAATTCTCTTAAAAAATGTTATCTTTTTCTCTGTCTCGTTGGATATAAACATTTGCTTGCTGCATTACAATTACTACGACGGCCATTGATCCCATCCATCTATAAGTGCAGGATGGTATGGAAGGCAATATGTTTCCCATGCATTATGTCCCCTCTCTCCAGGTCGCTGATGGGTCCAAATGAACAGCAAGGGCCGTTACAGGTTGACACCAGCTGTCAGAACGAAGTTAAAATCACCGATGAAGTACCTTAGGGGGTTCAACTCTGAATTTTTAGCTGTGTAGTATAAGCTACGCCAGGGTTACATAGAGTTTTGAACTTTCTCATAGACCGTTTGCCACCCAAGGCTATAAAACATAGTCTGTACTGCTATTTAACCATAGCTGGTGAAGAAGAAGAGGATTCATACCTAAGGGTATTATCATGTAATTGAATGTAATGGATCCGTTTGGAATTCGAACTCGGCTCTCCGATTCCTCAATCCGAGCCGCTATCTACTACTTCGAGCCGCCTAAAGTGACAGGAATTGGCAGAGAGACGAAACTTATTGAGAGCTAGAAGGGATAGGGGTAAGTGGAGAGCCATGAACGCCTACGCCCTGAAAGGACTCCACGCATAAAAAGAAACATTAGGAAGCAATTTTTCTTTCAAACACCTTGTTATTAAAGACCATGGACGTTTAGTGTCCATTGAGTTTGACTATCTTTCTCCTTTTTTTTCGCGGCTGATGAACAAAAGTTACAATATATTTATAATGGCTGCTTTCGACTCTCATGAAGAGGTGTGTCAGAAGAAGAGGTTAATTTAACCTCCTGGATTAAATTGTTTTTGATGACAAGTTTATATCTTTCAGAGCCTTGAACTTTTATAATTTACAAGACACGGCTTAGGAGACGGTTTTAAACAGTAAACTGGTACATGTTTGAACGCTATCATATATTAGTACATCTTGATATATATATATATATATATATATATATATATATATATATATATATAATTTCTCTTCAAAACTTTTGTTGATATAAAAAATAAATTATAAATCGTTATCCTATATATATATATATATATATATATATATATATATATATATATATATATATAATTTCTCAAAACTTTTCCTTCGTATAAAAAATTATACATAGATATCCTATATATATATATATATATATATATATATATATATATATATATATATATATATATATATTTCTCCAAAACTTTTCTTGATATAAAGAAAAACATTATATATAGTTATATATATATTTTATATATATATATATATATATATATATATATATATATATATATATATATATGAAAACGGAGTCAACATTCTTCTCAAGCCCTCCTTTACAACGAACACATCGTCAGAAGAATATGTTGGTAAATGTTAAATTGACAGAATAACAATTTGCACTGCGAGAAAAGACAAAATATGTGGAAATATTTTGCTCTTTATATATTTCTTTTTCTCGCAGTGTGACTTCTTATTCTGTCAATTTAATATCTGCCACAATATTCTTCTGACGATGTGTTGGTTGAAAAGGATCCTTAAAGAAGAATGCTGTCCACCGCTTTCAAATATATATAGAAATATCTATACAGGGTCTTTCCACAATTTTGGAAACGAAATGATCAGACCATGGATCAGTGAAGATAGAGAAATGGAGATGACTTTTATTGAAAGGCAAAAATGATAACATTTTAGGATCTGCAACAATTTTGCCGCAAAATTGACCCCAAAAATGTAAAGAGAAGCCCTAGAAGTACATACACCAGATGTCCGCCATTTAGTTGAAGGTACTTTCGAATGCAAATTTGTTGACAAAGCGTGCAAATGCTTCCTGGTTGATCGCTTGAATGATGGCTGTCTTCAATGCAGCAATGTTACGAGGGTAGCTCTGGTATATGTTTTCCCTGAGGAAAACCCAGAGGAAGAAAATCGGGGGCGGGGCGGCTTTAGTCAGCCGCGTGAGTTTCTCATTCCACTTCTGTTTTGCGACTGATGAGACACTCGCCAAATTTTTCATTGATCCTTGCAATGGTAACATCACCAGTGTGAGGAGGAGCACTGGAACCATTGTTCTCCCCTCAGCAAGGTCCTCATGCTCCCCATAAAATAAAATAATTGTCGGACATTGTCCATTTCATAATGTGTGACGTCATTTGTTTACATTTGGATACGCAGCGAGCAGATATGAATGTACGAGCGGAAATCATGGAGAATTGTAGTTTAGTAAAAGTAAAATCGACCTTGCCAAACCGAAACGCTACACTGTAGCTAAATCGTAAAAGCACGTCAGGTTATATGAAGGTTCCGTATAGGATACTATAATGGATAATTTAATTTAATTTATAGTTTTCGTTCATGTTGGTCGATTGATTTTTCTATGTAGCGGCATATCAAACCCCCTCTTTCTCTTTCTCTCTCTCTCTCTCTCTCTCTCTCTCTCTATATATATATATATATATATATATATATATATATATATATATATATATATATATAGTTGGATTGATGTGAGTTTGTGACATCACAAACTCACATCAACCCAACAAATATATTAGCTCTATCTCTGATATTGAGCGCTTTCTAATAAATACCGCATATAATATAAATAATAATAATAATAATAATAATAATATATATATATATATATATATATATATATATATATATATATATATATATATATATATATATATATATACTTTTCACATATTTATATATATATATGTATGTATATGTATATGGAACAACGTGATTCATGAAAAGAGATTAATATGTAAGTTTGGACACATAGATGAAAACACAAGAAAAATATTCATACTATTAGTAGCTTTATGTGTGTGCGTGTGTGTGTGTGTGTTCGATCGCATGTATGTGTATGTCTTGGAGTGTATGTATGTCTGTGAGTTAAAATTTAGTCGTCGGCCAATCGGGGAGAAAGAAAATATTCAGCAACTTGTTAATAATACTATATTTCGGAGCGAATGGAAGAGAGAGAAAGAAAGGGCTATAATCGTGATTTTATTGTCCTAAAATTGCGCCACTTACTGGCTTCTTAGCAGACAAGGTACGGATAATTCCAGCAACATAAAGAAATGTCCTTAAGTTTATTTGCGTTTTTTCCCCCCATAAAACATTGTTTTATAATATATATTATGTTATGTTATATTATGTATAATATGCTTTATTTTTATGTAGTAAAACAAGAACAATAGAAACAAAATAAAGAATTTAACGAACGTCTTCAAGAAATCGTAGATTCATTAATAAATACGAAATAAAAATAAAAAATAAAATTGACAAAATTAATACAGATCATAGTTTAAAACAACCTCCATATGATCAAACATGTCACGGTATATAGTCACGTGACACCTAATGACATTTAATCACGACGTGAAATATAAAGAAAGGCGTAAATGTCGGATATAGCCCACGCCTATCTCCCTGACATTTTCCTGTCTTTCCAGTATCTGCCAAGATTTCCCGAATTCTCTGTTTCACTTGACAAAAGAAACCTTTTTCATTTTTTTTACTTTTTGTTCTTTTTTCCGACAAATATCTTCTGATAGTTCTATTTTCCAAAGACATTCCATCTTGTCGCAACCAGAAATGCGCCTGTGCATCAGGCTCTACCTGTCATTTTCCGGTCTGCATCACCCACGACTGTTATGCAAATTTATTAAACCCGCTGCTCCGTTTAGTTTAAGTGGCTACACCCTCCTCCGACAGCTTAAAGAGATTCAGGGACTTTTTTTTTTTTTTTTTTTTTTTTCCATTGTCTTTGTTGAACATCTCTGCGCCATGGTGACTAGTACTAGAGACATTTTTTTACATTAATAATTGACAACAGTCCAAAAGAATTTCTTACTTTCTTTCTTTCTTCCTTTTTTCTTTCTTTTTTTTTCTTTCTTTCTTTTCTTATCTTTCTTTCTTTCTTTTCTTTCTTTCTTTCTTTCTTTTCTTATCTTTCTTTCTTTCTTTCTTTTCTTATCTTTCTTTCTTTCTTTCTTTTCTTTCTTTCTTTCTTTCTTTTCTTATCTTTCTTTCTTTTTCTTTTTCTTTCTTTTCTTTCTTTCTTTTCTTTCTTTCTTTTCTAATCTTTCTTTCTTTCTTTCTTTCTTTCTTTCTTTCTTTCTATTCTTTCTTCGTCTGTACATCTATCCACTTACTTGTGCTTCATCAAGATCTATCCATCAAAATCTATCTCCCTATATATCTGTTTTAACACACACACACACACACACACACACACACACACACACATATATATATATATATATATATATATATATATGTATGTATGTAAAAAGTGTATATATATATATATATATATATTTATGCAATTTTATATATATATATAATTTATATATTATATATGCGCGGTACTTACTGGAAAGTGTTCAATGTGAGTGATAGAGGAGACATATTTAGTTGGACTGACGTGAGTTTGTGAACCTGGTTTTCATGCTCTCTAAGATTGGTGGGGCGAAGTATATGTAAAAATGTGCATTTATAAATATAAATATAGAGAGCGTGAAACCTAGGGTCTTAAATATCAATTATCATATATATATATATATATATATATATATATATATATATATATATATATATATATATAAAAAAAAACAAACCGCTTTTAAGGTTCCATTATAACAATTTATTTCACTAGAACCCTTTTAATGAACGCTGGATCATTAGATAGCACTTCCAGAAATGAAACGAAAGATGAAAAAAATATACGGATTACCAAGTTTTTTTAAATATATATATATATATATATATATATATATATATATATATATATATATATATATATATATATATATATATAGTGTGTGTGTGTGTGTGTGTGTGTGTGCCAGGTTTTTTAATTTTTTTCTCTTAGTATCTATCTATCTATCTATCTATCTATCTATCTATCCATCTATCTATCTATCTATTTGTCTATGATATCTATCTATCTATCTATCTATCTATCTATCTATTTATATATATATATATATATATATATATATATATATATATATATATAGTCTTTCGATATCTATCTATCTATCCATTTCGCCATATATATATATATATATATATGTGTGTGTGTGTGCGTGCGTGCGTGTGTATATGTATGTATATATGTATGTTTATGCGTCTGTCACCGTCTTTGGATATCTATCTATGTATCTATCTATCTATGGCAATTAACTCTTCCACATTTCTATTTCTTAATCTGTCCATATCTATCTATCTATCTATCTATCTATCTATCTATCTATCTATCTATCTATCTATCACATAATAGTCTCTACAGAATAATATTTAGACAGCTAGACTTGATTTTGTACTCATTTTATACTTGAGTTGTTTATATCTATCTTTCTCTAATCTTGGGAACATCCTGTATATGGGAGAGCTAACTGGATCATGAAGAAAGAAGTGGAAGTGTAGAAATACATCGTTAAGGCGCTCCAATATTTTTTTTACCAGAAAGACATGTCAATTCTCAAATTCTAAAGAAAAAGAATGTACGGAGATTCATAAACGACAACTTCCTGAAAGATACAGTATAAAAAGGACTGAAAAAAGCTGAAAGCGGCAGAAAGTGGTTCTACAGACGGACAATGAAAGTTCCATTGCCGGAACGAATAAGCAACAACGAAGTCTTAAAGAAAATGGCAGCAGAAAGAACGCTTCTACTCAAAATCAGGAAAAGACACCTGAAATATTTTGGACCCCAAATGAAGAAGAACTGCTTCAAAAACAGAATACTTACGGGGCATATTAGGTGTAAGTTCGTCAAGGGAAGTCAGCGAACAACTTAACTGATGAGATGGTATGAATGGATGTGGAAACGGGACGCAACAGTCAAAGAGAGATAAACTGTTAGACGTCGTACGAGATAGGAAGTTGTGAAGAGCCATAACCGCTCATGTCTTGAAAAGAAAAGACACAGAAAAAGACGATATGCATAATTATTATTAAACATATCATTTTGATAAAGAATAGGAAACAGTAATCTATACTGGCTCCTATCATGTGTATCATAGTTTGATTTTAAATATGCATTGCCTTGTTTATAAAAAAAATGTTGTCTGAATATGTTATTTACGTTATCATTTATTTTCAAGATAAAGAAAAATCTAGTTATTTCATTGAAGTAAAATATGATAAAATGGTTATAAATATTTAAAACGTTTTTAAAGAAAATTGATCAATGAAAAATAAAATGGAATGCATTTTGACAGAAACTATTTCTTTTAACTGAAAGTAAGTAAGTATAGATATTCTTATTTGGAAGATAAAATCCCTGGTATACAATCCAGTCAATCGTTGTTATAATTTTCAATCGTTTCTTCTTTATATAAGCTGTGTCGCTCCACGAATCCACTTCGTAAACTCTTTGGAAATTTTGAATTTTTGCTATTTCTTCCAATCCCTTTTCTGCGAATCCTTTATACAAGCTCGCTGTATATTTTACGCACTGCATTCCTTTGCCTCTCTCGCTTTCAATATATCATGTGAGTGTCAGACTTTCCAAGCACTCTTTCCTCAATATGTACCCAAGAATTTTCAGCTGTCTTATTGTGATGAAGTCTTTTTCTTTCCGTTCTCTCTAAAACCTTTTCATTGATCACATGTTCAATCCATAGCATTCTCAGCATCTTTCTGTAGAACCACAAATGTGTTGTCTCAAAGTCTTTTTCATCTGTGAGGAGATTTTCCAGTATCTAGTAGACAGCTAGACTGGATTTAGTACTCATTTTATACTTAAGTTGTTTATATCTATCTTTCTCTAGTCTTGGGGACAAAAAATAAAATGGAGGGCCGATATTGCTTAGCAGTCTAGTACTTTTTTTTTCTGACGAGATTTCCTCTTTCTTAATAGCTTTTGTAAGGCATATTTACAACAGTACGGAAGCAAGGTATAAACGACCTAAACAGTTATAATAACGCCTGATTTCACGGACAGAATTGTATAGATTAATGCAAAGGAATGACAAACATGCTTTGGTCTCAGAAAGATTTTTATACTGCTAATGCGTACACAAAATTATATATGTATATATATTTACATGTGTCCCACACAAAGAAAGTATATCACATGTCTACAACAGCAAACAGTGTGAAAAGCGAAAGTCTTACTTGTAATATTTCCCGACGGGAAACTGGAGTTACAGCTGGTGGGGCGGTTCGGTTTTCCCTGCAAGACGTAACGGAGTGTGATACGGACGTCCTTCTTCTGCGGGGTTTATATCACAGCTGTTCTTCGTCACTCTATCTCATGACGTCATTCACCCAATCGTCACGTGACCTTCAAGGAAGGGGAGATAATCGACTTTTGTATCGCTACAGTTTTTATGTAAACAGATGGCAGAACAAGGACAGGGAAGAATGATAAAAGAATAGATGCTGCTTAGAGCAAGAAATACAGGAAGACGAGGAGAGCCATGATCATCTAGCTGTTTGACAAAGCAAATAAAACAACAGAAATATATACGAGATTTAGTAAAAAAAAAATATCCGCACTTTTGCCGTAATATAGTGATTTTCCAAGCATAGATGTGGCACAAGGCCGAAATTGGGGGCATCCCCTGAGAATCGAACTCACTATTCAGCCATAATTAGCTTGCTAACCATTACACCACCTCGAGATTCCCTCTTTTGACATAATATATCTGTATTATGAGTGCCGATAATTTTTGCCTTTCCACACATATTAAGATCAATGATACTTTTTTTCTCAATTCTATTATTTTATAAACAAAGACAAAAGCAGCCAATTGCAGCCCGCGTGCAGTATGCCGCTCATTTCCCTTCCAGAATGTCACCCTTAATTTCATGAAGAAATTAAAGTTTATTAAAATTGTATTTGTTTTGTTCTCACTTAAACACATACATTATAACTATTAAGTACAGGTATACCTCGGTTTACGTCGTTTCGAGTTAAGTCGTTCTCGATGATACGCCGTTTGTCAAAAAATATATGGAAAAATAAGAATCACAGTTTAAGTCATATTATTCGACTTTACGTCTGTCCGCCACAAATATTAAAGTAGTAATATCACTAGAAAATCGTTGAAAGCACATAAAATCATGTTACTGTCAAATAAATAAGAATAAAAGTATATAAAATCATATTAAAATTACGTATATTTACAATAAATGTTAATATAATCATATATATAGTCTTAGAAAACGAAATATGAAAACATCTGTGATACTGTGTTCGCGTCTATTAAGTGTCATCAGATAATTAAGAAACGAGGTAAAAGTGCATCAGCCGATTTTCCTAAAGCGTTAGCTAAGATCATTGAAGAAAACTGGTTTTTTCCTGAACAGATTTTTTTAACATTGACGAAATTGGATTATATTGGAAAAAATGGCGGATCGTTCTTTCATTGCAAATGCTCAACTTAAGGCTATATGGCTGATAAATTATTTTATTTATACTGTGCGTACATATAATAAATACTGTAATATGCAACTGGGGGTGCTTATTTGCAGTTATATTGTGGCTATTTCGTCTTAAGTCGTTTTCGACCTTCGTCGTGTCCTCTGGAACCAATGAGGTATAGCTGCACAGTGATTCTTGAATTTTGTAACTTTTCCTTCACGACAAACCTTTCATTGGTTTAAACCGTTGGCAATTTTCACTAAGGAAAATCATACGTGTAAACATCTTATCTGTTTCTTTAGAAATAGAAACCGTATATTTCTGCGGATACAACGACATTTAAATCCTCGAAATCACCGTTAAAAATTGGAGGTCGTCTTATACAGCAATTCTAAAAAAGAAGCCTTAAATTTTCCGTGATGTCTGTCAGTAGGTTAACTTCTGTGGGATAACCAATGAAAAAGATTCACATTATCAAATAAAAAACGATAATAAAAGTAATAAAACAATTTATAGCTTATTACTGGCATATCTTCATAATTAATTGCCTATTCTAAAAATAATTTCCTATCAATGAAATCAGTTTGAATCAATGCAAGCTCAGCTGTGAAATTGTAAAAATCGAATTATGATTGCGTTCACAACGAACTTTATCTTTCGGTAAACATCATGCTAGTGATAATTACGGCAGTAATAATACTTAGGATAACATAATATTCATTTCTCATTAAAACTACATTATCATTTTGGTGTTAAGTAATAACAATTTAGAAATGTATGCAATCTTTATTTTTCAAATACAATTCCTTTTATAGTATTTGCATTAATACTTTACGTTGTATGAGTCTGTTTAGATGAAGGCAAAAAGAGGAAGAAGACGAATCAGTATTCGCAATAGATCACGTGATAAAACGTAATCAAAACAATGGTTTCCGTCCTAGGTGAAGTGTATCGGGAAAACATGATATAGAATCGGTTTTATATTTCGTTTATTTTGAATTTATAAGGAACAGTAGGTAACAACATTTCAATAACATCATCTTCATATAATCAACTTGACTTAAAATATTTTGTCCTTCCTTGACTTTAAAGGAGTGCCTTTTGCCGTGCTGATGTTTTACATGCCTTACTTCTTGCCTATCTCTCACACTGCGAATTTTTTAAGCTCTATACTAAACATTAAATATGTTACGAAAAAAGAACTAAACAAAATGAACACAAAACGATCAGCTTTAAAAAAGGACTAGTACCTGGAAAAACCGAATGAAAAAAGAATGTTAACAACAAATACTTTTTCACATCCAACACAGTTCTGCGGAATCAGAATCAACGTTGAGTTTAAGCAAGCGAATGAGCCAATTGGAGTAAAGTGCCATGCAGATTTAATTTTTTCCCACTTGTGACGACTGCAGCTATCGATGTTTTTTGCATGCTAGCATACTAGTTAACATTCGTATCAGTCAGCTGTTGGCTCTCACGCTGGCCAATAGAATCTTCCTGCTTATTCGTGGCAGCCAGCTATAGGCTCTCACTCTGGCCAGTAGAAAATGGCCGCAAACTACACGAAAACTGCCGTAGAAGCATGAAAAAATCGATTATTTCTACTATCGATGGGAGTTGGGAAATGCAAAGTCGGTCTTGGTCTTCCCGCTAACTTGGAGCATTTGCATGAAAATTTTGGTGCAAATCCGTCGAAAAATTGCGGCCGTGCATTCGTTAGACCCCCCCCCACACACATCCTGCCTTTTATAGATAGAGATAAGTAGTAGCCGCACACTACAGGTATATGATAAACTCATGAAAATTTGTTATATTTTTGTACCTCGTCTTATCTAAAGGTCACCTTAAACGCGGAAATACACGGTAATATATATTGTTTTTTTTAATTATTTTTGTATTTTCAA